AAGTAAACCCAAAATGCTCTCTTCTGCGATTTACAAGCAAATCAATATATATATATATATATATATATATATATATATATATATATATATATATATATATATGAATATATATATATATATATATATATATATATATATATATATATATATATATATATATATATATATATATATGTCGTACCTAGTAGCCAGAACGCAATTCTCAGCCTACTATGCACGGCCCGATTTGCCTAATAAGCCAAGTTTTCATGAATTAATTATTTTTCGACTACCTAACCTACCTAACCTAACCTAACCTAACTTTTTTGGCTACCTAACCCAACCTAACCTATAGAGATAGGTTAGGTTAGGTTAGGTAGGGTTGGTTAGGTTCGGTCATATATCTACGTTAATTTTAACTCCAATAAAATAAAATTGATCTCATACATATGGAAATGGGTAGGTTTATCATTTCATAAGAAAAAAAATTAGAGAAAATATATTAATTCAGGAAAACTTGGCTTATTAGGCAAATTGGACCTTGCATAGTAGGCTGAGAAGTGCGTTCTGGCTACTAGGTACGACATATATATATATATATATATATATATATATATATATATATATATATATATATATATATATATATATATATATATATATATATATATATATATATATATATGTTTTACCTAATAGCCAGAATGCAGTACTCGGCCTACTATGCAAGACCCGATTTGCTTATTAAGCCAAGTTTTCCTTAATATATATTTTTCTAATTTTTTTCTTGTTAAATGATAAAGATATCCATATCATTATGTATGAGTTCATTTTGTTAAAATTCAGTTAAAACTCACGTAGATATATTACAGAACCTAACCAACCCTACCTAACCTAACCTAACCTATCTTAACCTAAACTAAACATAACTAAGTTAATCATTTATGTTCTAAATGTAATATAATGATAATAATTCAAACAAACTAATTGGAAACAATTTGTTGAAAATAAAGAAAACCACTCTGCCTATTAGGCAAATCGGGTCTTGCATACTAGGCCGATAAGTGCATTCTGGCTACTAGATTCGACATATGTTTATATACAAATTTATATATATATATATATATATATATATATATATATATATATATATATATATATATATATATATATATATATATATATATATATATATATATATATATATATATATATATATATATATATATATATATATATATATATATATATACATATATCTGTAAATTGAGACGTTAGGAAAGCTATTAGAAACAGAGAGAAGGCGATATGTATTTACACAGAGAAAGAGAGTATATATGGAAAGGTGTAGGAGAAAAATAATGACGATTGCCAGATGCCAAAGGAGAAAATGACAGGTAGAAACAGTGAAATGAACATAAATATGTATATGTTAAAGCCGATAGGAACATACCCAGATTCACGAACAAGGCAGAAATTTAAAAAAAATTGATTTAGTAATAGATGTGGACAAAAAAAAACATTATAAATTGCAGTCAACATAGAGTCTGACAATGGAGCATCCCCCACGTAAGGATGAGTACACAGTAACCAGCTTCAATATGCACTGACTCAACCACCTGTATATACAGTCACAAACATACGCATAGCTGGTAAATTAGCTGCGTTATATATACACAGAGAGCGCAGATGGGCAGAGCTGAGGAGGTTTGGACATTATGGAGACATTAGAAGTACATCACGGTAGCGGAACATGTGTACACGGAGAATGGGTTGTACAAACGGAAGACAGGGGGAAGGGAGCAACGTGTGCACACAAAGGGTATGGAGTACACACGGGGGAGGGGCATGATATTTACACTTGGATAAGATGCACACACACGGAAAAGAGAGCTGTACATAGGAAAAGAGATGTACACACTGGCTAGGTATACACATAGAGGCAAGGTGTACATACAGTGGCAAGGTGTACACATGGGGGCACGATATACATACGTGGCTAAGGTGTTCACATGGATAGATGTTCACATGAGAGTAAGGTGTACACACGAGAGCATGGTGTACACACGGAGAAGAGAGAGATGTACACCAATGAAAATATTGAAATTTCAGGCCGCCGAGAGATCGTCGTCTATATATACATTATATATATGTCCCAGGTCGGTCGGTCTCCAGACGCTGGAGGCCACCTCACCTAGCATTGCAACATGGGGTATGTAACTGTCATAGGTCAGCCGAGGTCGTCCCAAGTGCCTTGCTTTAAGAAATATCTGTGTCATAATTGACCCCCCTATTCAATTTTCATGAAGCCTTACATAATATGAGATTGTTGCCGCCGTCGGCAGCTAGTGTACTGTGTACCCCATACTCGTCCCGTGAGCCGGGTGTAGACCGTACAGGTTTGTTACTCCCGCCGTTTACTCGCGTGAAATGTGGGTGGTGTGGAGAGGGGGAGAGGGAGATGTTGCGTGGAATATCTCTCTCTCTCTCTCTCTCTCTCTCTCTCTCTCTCTCTCTCTCTCTCTCTCTCTCTCTCTCTCTCTCTCTCTCTCTCTCTCTCTCTCTCTCTCTCTCTCTCTCTCTCTCTCTCTCTCTCTCTCTCTCTCTCTCTCTCTCTCTCTCTCTCTCTCTCTCTCTCTCTCTCTCTCTCTCTCTCTCTCTCTCTCTCTCTCTCTCTCTGTATATATATATATATATATATATATATATATATATATATATATATATATATATATATATAATATATATATATATATATATATATATATATATATATATATATATATATTCCAGCCAGAGGTGGTACTCCCTTCCCTTTTTTTGAAAAAAAAAAAAAAATATATATATATATATATATATATATATATATATATATATATATATATATATATATATATATATATATATATCTGTGGGGGGGGGGGGTGGCGTGTGCATAGGTGTGTTAAGAGGTTAGATAAGGTCGGTAGAGGGAGGTGGTGGTGGATGCGGAGGCACGCCTGGCGTATGGGTGGGCAGACCCTGGTCTCTGCTCCACCACGTCTGCCCTTGTTGACGGGCGGGCGGCCTGCCCCTCACGCTGCACCTCACGGCTCGCCTCTCATCATTCCCAAGTTTAGTGCTTGATAGACGGTGATTGTTAAGAGGTAGAGTAGCAGTTAGATAGTGGGTGTTAGGTAACAGCCTAACTTCCGTGTTATTAGGAAGATAAATCGAATAACAGGTTACTAGGAAAATTAAAAAACACCTCTATATATATATATATATATATATATATATATATATATATATATATATATATATATATATATATATATATATATATATGTGTGTGTGTATATCACGAAAATAAACACGTGATTAAGAATGTGACAATGTCAGACCACGGAGGAAAAATGAAACAGGAAATTTCCTTAAGTACTTTCGTATATTAAATACATCTTCAGAAGGACCTCTGAAGATGTATTTAATATACGAAAGTACTTAAGGAAATTTCCTGTTTCATTTTTCCTCCGTGGTCTGACATTGTCATATATATATATATATATATATATATATATATATATATATATATATATATATATATATATATATATATATATATATATATATATAGATTCAGCTAACGATAAAATTGTAAATAAATAAATAAATAGTTACAAAAGATAGAGATGAGAGAGGTGATGACACATGAAGACACTAGGGACTCCCCCGACACCTGTGACGTCAGTACACTTCTGGGATTACCTTAAGAGCCTCGTGCTCGCGTGCAGTAACGGCTACAATAAGTCTCTTCAACCCAACCTCTATAACTTTCTCGATTGAAAAATAAGAACATTGGAGAATCACTTCCCGTTACAGAGAATATTTGAGTCCATCGTTTCAGCAATTGTTCGTTCTATGTTTAAAATTGAAGAGTCTCTTTCTAAGGGCTACTGGGTGTATTTCTTCCAGGACACGCGAGGGTTCATATTATATACTACCTTATAGTTCCACGTCTTTTTTCTCTGTAAAAGGAATATATTTTTATTTCATTTCACTCTTAAATCCAGTTGGAGGGTAGATAGAGCGTGTGGGTGCCCTGGCGAGCGAGCAGGTCGGGGAAGACCACATGGTCACCTCTGTGTGCGACAGTTCTTCCTCGTCGCTTGGAAGGCCAAGATACCCTGAAATAACTAAAGCAGAACTTGTGCTGAAGTTACTTCAACAGAACTTACTGAAGCAGGAGGCGATATCACATCTGCGCAAATCAAAAGAGACATGGCAGGCGCAGGTCATGCGGGCGACGTTAGTTCCTGCGCGAGTCAGTTTTGGGTTCAGAAATCCGGTGTGCGAGAGACTTAATACCAGCGAATCCTAAAGTCACGACACACGGTACTGATCCTACGCAATTTAATCACGTACTAAGAAGTTCTACGTAGGTCAGACAAGCGGTCTTGGGTCTAAGATACGCGATAACAGGTCCTATGCAGGTCTGACATGTGCCACCAGGTCCTGGGCAGGTCAGACATGTGCCACCAGGTCCTGGGCAGGTCAGACATGTGCCACCAAGTCCTGGGCAGGTCAGACATGTGCCACCAGGTCCTGGGCAGGTCATACATGTGCCTCCAGGTCCTGGGCAGGTCAGACATGTGCCTCCAGGTCCTGGGCAGGTCAGACATGTGCCACCAGGTCCTGGGCAGGTCAGACATGTGCCACCAGGTCCTGGGCAGGTCAGACATGTGCCACCAGGTCCTGGGCAGGTCAGACATGTGCCTCCAGGTCCTGGGCAGGTCAGACATGTGCCTCCAGGTCCTGGGCAGGTCAGACATGTGCCACCAGGTCCTGGGCAGGTCAGACATGTGCCACAAGGTCCTGGACAGGTCAGACATGTGCCACCAGGTCCTGGGCAGGTCAGACATGTGCCACCAGGTCCTGGGCAGGTCAGACATGTGCCACCAGGTCCTGGGCAGGTCAGACGCGCGGTGAGGGGTCCTGCCACGCTTTACAAAAGTGAAGGTCCCGCCAGGCCTCGCAGGTCTTGCAGTCGACGGAGCAGCACCACTGAAACTTGCACTCACACTTGGTGCTGATGAGCCGCCTGCGGGTGTCGTAGCCGCGGCCGCAGCACAGCAGGTCGCACCCGTCGGTGCCCTTCGAGGTCCGGTTACACTGCCGGCCTCCAGTGCCGGTGAACCCTGTGGAGGGAAGACGTCAGGAGGATGAGTGAACCACAGATCACATGCGTTCTCTCTATCTCACAATCTTTCTCGTTCATACATTTCTCTCGCACTCTTTTCTCACACACTCTCTTATATTCTATTTCTCACGCTTTGTCTCACACTAGCAGGGGTACCCAGCGTTGCTCCGGTGACCCGAGGCCACATCTACACTACTCACGACCTTCATCACTGTGGCCGTCTTCACTAACCGGGCAGGGCGTCCCATCTACAATCATTATCATACCTACCTTCCTTACCTTCGCCATCTTCCAGTCATCCTGTAAAGTTTGGCGAGGCTACCCGCAAGCGTCTGGTCCCCTATCTCCACCACACACACACACACCTTCTCTTTTATATGTATATATAGATTCTCCTCTTGTAAGAGGAGAAAGAGTGTATCTTTCTCCTACATTCGCATATTCTTGATTATCTTACACACACTCATGCTCTCAAACGTTCTTTCATATTTTCTATCACACTCTTACAATCTTCTTTTGTCACGCTTTCTCTTTGTCGAACTCATTCACTTCATCTCTCGCACACACTGTGGGTCCCGCCAGACCAGGACCTACCCGAGGAGGAGTCAGCATCGCAGTAGTCAGGCGAGGGCTCCAGGTACACCAAGTCCTTCTTCCTGGGTTTTTTGTGGTCGCCGTGGCGAGGAACGAGGCCGGCGCCGTTGGGCAGGACGCTGACTTCTGTGGCCCCGTCGTAGCGGGTCTTGAGCCAGCGGGCAGTGGCTCCGAAGGGCGCCATTGTCTGCCAGCAGGTTCTGACGGTGCAGGAACCAGACACGCCGTGGCATTTGCACTCCAGTCGCATCTTCTTCCGCACCGCCTGCAGGAGAAGTGTGATTTTAAGACGTTGGTAGGAGCTGAGTGGAGGTGGTGGGTGCCCTTGGGCGGGGGAGGGCATGTCAGTTTAATATATAAATATCTATTTGATTTTATGCTGCTTCGTTCCATCTACGCGTCTCTACTGAGTCTCCAAAGAGTCGTCTATTCTCTCTCTAACATGTCATCTGTTCTAAGCATTGCAAACAAGTCATCTCCTATATTGATCTCCAAGAAGTCATCTCCTCTAAGCATCTCCAACAAGTCATCACTAAGCATCTCCTATACAGGTCTTTATATCTGTACATTTACACCCTCTTCACATTAATGTATAGACATACATCATTGTGTTAAACACGGCGTGAGAGTTACAGAATCACGGTGTTGCAGAATGTGATTCACTATGCAAATTATACGAGTGTCACTTGAGATAATGTGTGCACCTGATCCCCTGACGCACGTCTCTCCTATACTGCTTTCCTCTCTTTCCTCACACGACCCCTCTTTCCCCTCCCATCCTTCCCTTCATTCCAACTTTCAACAACTCAGTTCTGTCCTAACCAACTTCCAACTCAAGCCTTCACTACACCACAGCCCCACACCCATAACCCCTTCCCCTCAGCTCCATACCTTGCGTCCGGCGCGGTTGTTGTGGAGGTTCATAAGAGCCCTGGCGTCCCTCTGGCCGCGGTCTCTGGCGTCCACGAACTTCCTGGCGAAGGCGGTGCCGTAGCGGATGTTGTCAGAGCAGCCGCCCCAGCTGAACTGTCCCGCCCGGTCCCTGTGACTGCCCTGGAAAGAGATAAACCGGGTTACTGGAAGTCCTCCAGCTTCCTGGTCTTCATGGCTTAGCTTTCTTTAAAATTACTTACTTACTGGATGTCCTATAATGTTATAGTTACTAGATGTTATGGAAGGTGAGGGGGACCCCCCACCAGTAACTAAAATCGTCACTTTCATCTGAAAATTATCACCTTATGCAAGCTTTTCATATTCACGTGAAATAATAAACCTAGATGGACTCACCTTCTTGGAGAGATCGCAAGCGCAGTTAGTGATGGCGCCCCTGGAGCAGGCACGGGTGATGGCGTGAACCACCCCAGCGCTGTTGATGGCGTACACGAACGCAGACTCCCGGGTACCTGCTGGAACACCGAGCAGCTGGTCAGGTGGTGGGGAGTGTGTGGGGAGGGGGGGGGGAGTATGTAGGGAGGATTGTGGGGTGATGGAGGGGAGACATATAGGAGGAAGTGGCAAGAGTGGGGAGGCGTATGGGGAATGGCAAAGGTAGCAAAGAGAGAGAGAGATATAAGTGGGTTCAATATATATATATATATATATATATATATATATATATATATATATATATATATATATATATATATATATGTTGTACCTAGTAGCCAGAACGTCGTACTCGGCCTGCTATGCAAGGCCCGATTTGCCTAATAAGCCAAGTTTTCCTGAATTTATCTAATTTTCTTATTCTTTTCTTATGAAGGTATCATTTCATTATGTATGAGTTAATTTTCTTAAATTTGAGTTAAAATTAACGTAGATATATGACCAAACCTAACCAACCCTACCTAACCTAACCTAACCTATCTTAACCTAACCTAACCTAACCTAATCTATCTTAACCTAACGGAAACAAACTTAACTACATCAATAATTTATATTCTTAATATAAAATAGTAATAATAATTCAAATAAACGAACTGGAAGCAATTTATTGTAAAAAAAAAAAATCACTCGGCCTATTAGGCAAATTGGGCCATGTATAGAAGGCCAAGAAATGCGTTTTGGCTACTAGGTACGAAATATATATATATATATATATATATATATATATATATATATATATATATATATATATATATATATATATATATATATATATATATATATATACACAAAAGAGGGGAGAAGGGGGCATGAGGGAGGAGGGAGGTGTGTGGGAGGAGGGAGGCGTGTGGGAGGAGGGAGGTGTGTGGGAAGAGAGAGGTGTGTGGGAAGAGAGAGGTGTGTGGGAGGAGGGAGGCGTGTGGGAGGAGGGAGAGGCAACTGCTATTGTCCTTGGGTCACTAATTACGCTCTTCAACTACAAAATATATAATTACAAGATGTTCTTCAGGTGTGGAGGAGCAGAAGTGCTTTTCTCTCTCAGAAGAGCACTGTTGAGAGACATAATAGGAGAGAGACAGAGAGACAGAGCTAAATATCCAAAGAGTGATAAAAAAAAACAGTGAAAGAGGAGATAAAGGGAGCAAGATATATCTATATAAATAAAAATGTAAATGGTCGTTTGTTCAAAATCGGTAATCTTCGAAAGTTCTTTACCGATTGCTTTGAAATTTTGACACAACGTTCCATTCGAATATGCGCAAGCTTTTATATACCTACTATATAGATTCCACACCTGGTGACAAATTAAAACATGCTTCTTTTGAAAAACAGCGCCATCTGTTGCACGTAATAGCAACACACACTATTCTAAATAAGTTATGATTCCATTTCAATGTTTCCGATTGCATTGATAAATTGAATTTTCATAGATTTCGATATTTTTTCATTTTGATTTCATTATTTTGTGTGACATTGCGTTGGAATTGAGCTGTGTTGTTTAAAATACCATTCATATTGAAAGTATAAGTACGGATGTCACACCTGTGACAGGTAAAATCATTAATTTTTTGTTAAAACAGCGCCATCTGTTGCACGTAAGAGCGCCACACGATATACTAAATATGTTACGATTCCATTTCAGTGTTTCCGAATACATTGACAAATTGAATTTTCATAGATTTCGAATTATTTTCATTTTGATTCAATTATTTAGTGTGATATTGTGTTGGAATTGAGCTGTGTTGCTTACCATACCGTTCATTTCATGAGTATAAGTATAAACGCCACACCTGTGACAGGTAAAAACATTTTTTTTTAAAACAGCACCATCTGTTGCATGTAGGAGCAACACACAATATACTAAATATCTTACGATTCCATTTCAATGTTTCTGATTTTATTGATAAATATAATTTTCATTATTGAAGATAGGCTTGGTTAGGTTCGGTCATATATATATATGTTAGTTTTAACTCAAATTTAAACAAATTAACTCATACATAATAAAATGGACAGATTTATCATTTCAAAAGACAAAAATTGGAAAAATATATAAATTCGGGAAAACTTGGCTTATTAGGCAAACCGGGCCTTGTGCAGTAGGCCGAAAAGTGCGTTCTGGCTACTAGGTACGACATATATATATATATATATATATATATATATATATATATATATATATATATATATATATATATAGCTAGGAGAGAGACAGAGAGGCATATCCAGCAGCTGCTCCAACAACCTGCCCACGCACGTACTCTTCAGAACGTGTCTGCCGAAGACGGAGGCGTCGCGGGGAATTGTGGAGCAGTTCCAGCGGGCGTCCTGGAACTGCTTCTGGCAGTGCCTGACCCCCTGGATGGCGCCCTCGGTGACAGCGAGCATGGCGTCCGGGTGGCGCTTACAGAGCACACGCTGGCGACGTACCAGCCCAGGGATGTTCTCACAGTGGATCCGCGTCGAGGAGTACGAGGCACTCAGCTGCGATACGAACCTGCAGGAGATGAAGCAGGTCATATGAGTGGCAACGCCTGCAGGAGGTGTGTGAGGTACAGGAATAGAGCGTTAAGCTAGTATGAGCGAATAGCACATGCATGTGATGCAAGGAGAGGACATGATACGAGCTAGGATTTGAGGACTGAAAGAAGGAACGGTGCCCAATTCAGTAGTCCCGACGGGAAGGGTTAAATGCGAGTGACAAACAGAAAATGTTAAGGGAGTGCATTGTGGATGAAAATGGGAATATAATCATAATAATAAATATATTCTTCAGCACAAGAGACAATGCATATCTTTGTGAATTTGAATCTACATAACATCGATGGTATCCTGAGATTAATACCAGAGTCTGGTGCTCATGCCGATAACTGGACACTGACTTTCCCAGAGACAAAAAGATGATGTTGGGAGGTTATCGTTGCCCCAGATAAAACCCAGCTGATGGCTGTCTTACGAAGGCAACCAACCAATAGTGTACACTGTCAGAAGACTTGACAAGAAAGCACTTGTATACAACCCACCAATTACCACATCAGGAGCGGAATTTTGACGAGAAACTGTCCACAAAACATGTGAAAAATTGGAGTCAAACTGGATGGGCACACTGGTAGTGTACACCAGGGTAGTGTCCCCCAGGGTAGTGTACCCAAGGATAGTGTACCCCAGGGTAGTGTACCCAAGGGTAGTGTACCCCAGGGTAGTGAACCACAGGATAGTATACCCCAGGGTAGTGAACCACAGGATAGTATACCCCAGGGTAGTGTACCCAAGGGTAGTGTACCCAAGGGTAGTGTACCCCAGGGTAGTGAACCACAGGATAGTGTACCCCAGGGTAGTGAACCACAGGATAGTATACCCCAGGGTAGTGAACCACAGGATAGTATACCCCAGGGTAGTGTACCCAAGGCTAGTGTACCCAAGGGTAGTGTACCCCAGGGTAGTGAACCACAGGATAGTGTACCCCAGGGTATTGAAGTTAGACAGCTGCCACGGGTTGCTCCTGGGGGATGTGTGTGTGTGTTAGAGAGAAATACTGTATATGTAGTAGACATAATACAGGAAAAATAGATTGGTTAGAAAGGCGGGGCCAAGAGCTAATAGCTCGATTCTGCACAAATAGTAAATACACAAGAAGTGATGTGGTGGAGGCAGACTCCATACACAATGTCAAATGTAAATATGATAGATGAAATGTATCAAATGTAAATATGATAGATACGTTTCTGCCCGAAACGCTGCGCGTACTAGTGGCTTTACAAGACTGTTATTACTATGCTATGTATCCTCACAATCCCAATGTACCTTCTTGTATATATATATAAAGAAATAAAATAAATAAATTATAAATAAACAGAGGTAGAGAAGTGCAGGAATCTGTACAGCAGAAGATTGACGGTAGAGAGGCGGGACGAAAGAGCCGAAGCTCAACCACCGCAAGCACATCTAGATAAGTATATACACAGACAGACAGACAGACAGATCACCCGGGTCGACTCGGGGCCCGGCGGGTAGCCTATCTAGTAAGTACATGTAGCTAACACCAGTTATTTGTTTACAATAATATTAATATTTGAATTAGGATAAATATTCATCATTATTATTAATATTAGTATTATCATTCGTATTATTATATATAGTTGTTAATTATAAACTGGTACTAAAAAATATTGACACACAACAAATTATCAAAAAATATTTGTTTGCAAGTGCATTATTATGAATAATTTAAAAATATATGTATATAATAATTTTAACGTTGTTGGTCGGTGTTGCTAATTTTGGTGATGAGAACATTACCTTATTATTCGCTAATAAGATGGCTTTCTAAACATTATGTACATGCATTTTGCAACGAAATTTATTGATATAGTTAATATGTTTCATAATACGCATTATGACTCGAAGGATGTAATATAAATGTATCTATCATAATATGAGAAAAATACCTCTCGGTAGAAATTGCTTGCCTAAGGCATATTGATCTAAATATTATATTTCTGTCTTGCACGGTATATCTAACGTAATATTTGTGTCACACAAATTTAAAGGAAAATATATTATATGTATATATATAATTTCGTATCAAGCCCCTCGTATCCTAGGGGACCAAAATCCGGATTTCCCCGCACTTCGCCGTGATGGCATCACCATATACTCCTGGAAGGATGGTAGACAGTTGGTGTGGGACTACACATGTGTATCCACCCTGGCTGACACCTATGTACACTTCGGAGCTGATCAAGCAGGTGGGGCGGCCAACCACACTGAAATAACAAAATCAGCCAAATATGGCGACTGGAAGGTCGATACACCTTTGTTCCCATAGCATCTGAGACGCATGGCCCCTGGGGCAAGAGTCCCTTAGGGTTTTCTCAACTGAAGAAGATAATACAATTGACGATTTACTATAAAACCAAAAAAACGGCCAGCCTACTCATGAGAAACTCTCCAGACACAAAGCAGAACGCTTTAAAAGAGACCAACGTCGTCAATGCCTTCAAATGCCCACTTGGGGACTGTAAGCCTCAAAGAACTCAGTATATAGGCAAGACAACATCTCTTTCCAGGCGATTAATGATGCATAGGCAACTGGGCTCCATTAAGGAACATATAATCTCTTCCCACAACCAGACCATCACCAGAGAAATCTTAGCAAACAACACAGAAATCATCGATAGATACAGCGATAGCAGGCGGCTTGACATCTGCGAGGCACTACACATCAAGAAGTCAACACCAGCAATCAACAGCCAATTAATGCACAACTATATTCTACCCACTTCAAGACTCCGCACCAATATAGAAGCATCAAGAAATATGGGCCAATAGGCCCTCTGCAGTTACTTCCATTCTTACCTTCAATTTACCCAATTAATACCCATTGTTTCGTGTTCTGTCTTGTGTTGAAAGTTTTTGTTCACCTCATCCAAAACTGTTGTAACATATCACCTCACCCAAAATGCAGGTATAAAATAAAATGAAAGCTATTTAAATCATAGCATAGTAAGAACTCTGTTTAGTGTTTGCAGGTTATAGTTGTGTGTGTGTAAACTAAAGTCTTAGAAAATGTAATAAGTTATTACGAAACGCGTTCAAGTGTCGTGTCAGACTAGAAATAAAAATGAATTTTGGAGAACTGATTTTTCAATTACCATCGACAGTGAAAAGAACCATAAGAAATATTGAGAAAATTCGTGTTAGAATTATTAATCTTACTTTTTCGGTCATATTTAATAATATATATTTAGTGTGTATGATTTCCTTTATACCATTATTATTATACTTTATAGCAAAGTTTCCTATATAAACAAGAAGAATCTCAATATACATGTTGTTGATTCCTTCAATGAATTGCGAATCTTATTAAGTTGCGATACAATTCACCAACGGGATCGTAACATCTACAACCAATTACAATCCAGCAAAAAAATCTTTCTAACATTCTTCAGCTCATCCTTATATACCACCAGCCTGAAATTTCCAACCATCATGGTACTGTGAGCTTAAGAAACTCTAATATCACTTAAACTATTGTCATTTGTCTTTGAACTGGGTCTCAATCTTTTTTTCTTCGCGTTATTTGCACACTCGAGAGTTTGTTTATAGAGTGTGTGTGTGTGTAATTTTACATATAGAGCACAAGTGAATTATAAACTATGGTTGTACGGTAGTAGGCTGTCACGGCGGCTGGATAGTTTTAACTGTCCTATGCTGCCATTATTCCAAGCTTCTGTTTTGGTAGGCTTCCACTATGCCAAGCTTCTGTTGCGCTAGGCTTCCACTATGCCAAGCTTCTGTTGCACTAGGCTTCCACTATGCCAAGCTTCTGTTGCGCTAGGCTTCCACTATGCCAAGCTTCTGTTGCGCTAGGCTTCCACTATGCCAAGCTTCTGTTGCGCTAGGCTTCCACTATGCCAAGCTTCTGTTGCGCTAGGCTTCCACTATGCCAAGCTTCTGTTGCGCTAGGCTTCCACTTTGCCAAGCTTCTGTTGAGCTAGACTTCCACTATGCCAAGCTTCTGTTGCGCTAGGCTTCCACTATGCCAAGCTTCTGTTGCACTAGGCTTCCACTTTGCCAAGCTTCTGTTGAGCTAATCTTCCACTATGCCGAGCTTCTGTTGCGCTAGGCTTCCACTATGCCAAGCTTCTGTTGCGGTAGGCTTCCACTATGCCAAGCTTCTGTTGCGCTAGGCTTCCACTATGCCAAGCTTCTGTTGCGCTAGGCTTCCACTATGCCAAGCTTCTGTTGCGCTAGACTTCCACTACGCAAAGCTTCTGTTGCGCTAAGCTTCTACTGCGACAGGTTTGTATTACGGCTATGATACCACTGCGTCAGATTTAAAATAACCAAAGCTTCTACTGCACTAGGCTTCCACTATGCTAGGTTTCAACTGCACAAGGATTCCACTGTCCTAAGCTTGCCTTCCGTCTCAACTGTTGAGCTTTTTTTCAAGGTTTGAGTTATCAGGGAGAAAGAATACCCAGATCAAAGTTAGTACCAGCCAGCCTTGCGGGTGGCTTCACCTGCACCCTGGCAATACAAAGCAGACAGGAGCTTCCAGTAAATTAGGTTTTTTGCTTTCATAATTTTGTCTTAGCTGACATAAAGCCCACATCACTTTACTGAGTAATATTAATATTCAAGAGCAGGCAGAGCCAAGGTTGTTGGACACGTTTATAGGTCATCCAGTACAGGGCTCAGGTTGCTCAGCCGAGCTCCGTGGCTTCGGGCTGTCTATCCATCAGCTCTGAGCCCGTAAACCTCTCTCCCAGACCCAGCCATTGCTATGTACAAGGCTCCGTTATACACCAGAACTTAATAAATATATGCAATTACATCAAGGGAGCTTAGTGTGTTAGGTACGAGGGCTAGCTAGTACGCAGGGGCTTGTCAGGGGTTGCGGGGGCCTGTCAGGGATATGGAATGTTTGGGATATTGGACATTCCATTTCCCTGACATACCCCCATGTCCCAGGGATATGGGATGGGGGTATGTCTGAGATATGGAATGTGAACAGTTTGGAATTCGAGCCAGTTACTGAATATTTGGTGATGGTGTTTTGTGCTGGACAACTGAACTCCTTTGAAATTACTTGTTTTGCTTGCGTACACACACATACACGCGCGCGCGGGACCAAAGAGCCAGAGCTCAACCCACGCAAGCAAAACTAGGTAAGTACACACACAGGGAAGCCTGACAGCTGAGTGGACAGCGCTCGGAATTCATAGTCCTAGGATCCGGAAATCGATCCCCGGTGCAGGTTGAAACAAATGGGCAGTGTCTTTAACCCTGATGTACTGTTCACCTAGCAGTAAATAGGTACCTGGGAGTTAGACAGCTACTACAGGCTGCTTCCTGGG